GAGAAACTACTGATTTCTCAAAATTCATGAGGTGTTACTCATGCCCCAAATTCACAGAAATGCCCGGCCCTCAAGCATGCGCACCCCAAACTCAATTCAGTCTTAAAGTTGTCTGCCCTCAAGGATAGTGAATCATGTTAACAAACTTTGCAGGAAACTGGGCACTTTTCTGAGTTATGCATTTTTTTTTCCTATTCCTCTCACCACCCCTATTAGACAGGGACTCTTTCCATCCCTGTTTTTCACAAGTGGAAACGGAGCCTCCCGAGTACATGAACCTGCTCCAGGTCTGACATACTGTAAATGGAGGAGCTGGTCCTCAAACTCACAAATGGCCCCTACATTCTTGCTTTGACCAGGCTTCTCTCTTGCCAAGATGGGTGTAAGTGTCAAGCCAAGGGAACCCTGTGCCTCCCTGTCCCGTGTTTTCCATCCTGCAGGCTTCAGGGAGAGCCAGGTTTCCAGAAGGTTGTGCACTGTTGATACAATCAAAACTGGGGAAGCAGCTGTGATTTGAGAATTTCAAGGCCTCCCTCGGTGGCTGCAGCCCTCTCCACAGTCGGGCACAGCTGGTGGGCCGCCCCCAACAGAGCACCGCCCTGTCCAGGCGGGGGTGGGGGTGAGGCGGGGTCCTGTCCAGGCTGCTTTGTGATTCTCCTTCCCTGTTTTCCCTTTGCTTCTCGGGAACCTGTAGCCGACATAGTCATGTCGCCGCTCTTCTCTTTGAGGAGTCTTTGCAAATTGATGTTCTAAAAAAATCTGTGCCCCAAATGAGGGAGATAGTATCTGGTTCCACTAATATGAGGTACCTAGAATGGGAAAATTCATTAAGACAGAAAATAAAATAGTAGTCACCAGGGGCTGGGAGCAGGAAAAGTCAGTGTTCAACGGGCAGAGTTTATGTGGAAGATGATGGGACGTTTAGGGCACAGTAGGGTGATGGTTCCACAGTGCTGGGAATGCATCTAATGCCGCTGAACTGCAGACGTGTGAGTGTTTACGGTGATAGCTATGACGTTGTGTATATTTTTCCATGATAAAAATAAATAAAACTCTGACATGTGGATGGACCTTGAAGATACTAGGTGAAGTGAAATGGGAGAAGGACAGATGCTGCATGATTCCGCTCCTACGAGGAAACTAGAGGGCTGTAGTCAGATCCACAGACAGAAAGTCAAAGGGTGGTTGCCAGGGCCTGGGAGGATGGACACAGAGTTTCCATTTGAGATGATGAAAAAGTTCAGGAGGTGGATGGTGGTGATGGTGGCACAAGAGTGTGAATGTGCTTGATGCCACTGAACTGTCCACTCAAAATACTTAAAATGATCAATTTTATGTTATGTGTATTTTATCACCATAAACATACTTTTTTCTTCAATGAGAAGGAAGCGGCTTTGTCCCACACACCCTCTCCAAATTTTCTCCCAAATTGAGAAGCCCAGGAGTCCCCGTGCTGAAACAGGTGACCCCCGCCACGTCTCCCACCTCTGGGAAGGGCGTGCCTGTGCCTGGGAGGTGGAAGGACGCGACCAGGCAGCACACAGAGCAGCTGAGAGCGGTGGGGTTCTCATGGGGCTGCTGAAGCCCCCAGTGGCTCCACAGCTGTGCCTGGTCTCCCTTCCCAGGGCCACCAGCCTCTGTTTCCTGGCTCAGCCATCCAGGGGGCCGTCAGGCATTGCTCTTGGCTACTTTGTGGCTCCGGAAATGTCTGCAATCCTGTTTCAATTACCACGGTCCAGCTCTCAGAAAACTCAATATTCCCATCTCCATTTACAAACGTATCAATCAGGACTGTACTTCGGGGTTCTTTCAGAAAAAAATGAGCATATCTTCTATTTCAGATATAACAATGCATTTTTTTTAAACACGCACACTCCATTTCTCAAGACCGTGCACTTTTCATAGTTAGATCCCCTGACGGTTCTCCCAGGGCTCCGAGGACAATAGCACCATCACCGATTCCAGCCCACAAAGACGCCGGTCACCTCACGTCCCCCCCACAGCCAGGCAGCAGCCCCCAAAGGACCCAACTGGCGACGTGCAGTCTCTGACCATCCTCAGAGACAGCTGGTGCTGCCCACCTCCCTCTTCCCGGGTAGGTCCCAAAGCCCTGGTGAGAAAGTCACCCCCAGGCCCAGGGACGTGCAGTCCTCTCAGCAGGTGAACCAGGACTGCAGCAGGTGGCCGTGTGCCTTTTGAGTGACACAAGCAACCAGCAGTGGGAGTGAGCGCTGTGCCCGGCAGGCCCGTGGAAACCTCTCGAGCTGGCAGGGGGAGGCCCAGGACAGTGCGTCCAGACTGGGCCTACTCCCCACTTGCCAACAGTGCTGGCTGCTCCCCGCCTTGTCCCTGGGCTCCCTCCGTCTCAGGTCGCCCACAGCCGGCTAGAGCAGAGAGCGCTGGTTTTATGACTGGAGCTGTCGGCTGGAGAGACACCTTTTAAAATTCATGACCTTTCCTATCAGGGTTCAGAAACAGATCAGACTCGAAGACGAAAGCTGAGTTTATTCTCCACGGGTCTTGCCAGTCCCCCCCCCCCCCATCTCCCACCTTCACCCCTTCCTGTGTCTTCCTCCACAGCTTTCCTGGCCCATTGTTCTCCAGGATTTTTTGCCTTTATTGCCGTTTTAATCCCCACCCCAAAGCCATAAACCAAAGCAAAGTGAAAATTCTTCTGTTTCCAAACGGAGCGCGTTCTCTGGCTGGCAAGGCAGCCTGCCTATCAAAGCTATCTCCCTGTGTCAGGTAGGGAAGGGCACCGAAGGTGCAGCTGGGCAACAGCGATAGAGCAGAGGCTTGACTGGAAGGGTGGCAGGGGCTGGGGCGTGTTCATCTTTCCAGGGAAGGCGTTTGCTGGGGGACCATCCACCGGAGGCTGGGAGGTGGGGCTGAACACGGGCACAGCAGCCCGGCTGGCAGGCACCGGCCGCTGCAGACCTGCCAAGGAAAATTAAAGAGCAATGTGTTTGCTTCTTGCCACAACTATAAACAACAACAGAGATTCTCTCAGCCGAATTCTTGCCTTGTGATCGCAGTCAACTGTGCTCCGCTGTCCTTCCCTTCCCTGCAGCCGTTTCCCTCTGGGGCCTGGAATGAGGGCATCCAGCACCCTAACTTATCCCGGGATCAGGGGGAATCAATCCCCTCCCAGACGCAGTGGCCACGGAGGAGGCACACGGACTCTTTTGCAGCCACAAGGAGAAGTAAATGGAAGAGAAGCAAGAACTGCAGGAGCCTTGGCCCAGTGATGGAAATGACCTGTCCAAGCCAAACAAGAGAGAGCACGTCCATTTCTGGGAGGTAATGATAGGTAATGTTGTCGGACGTGGACCGGGACCAAGGCAGGTCTGCTGGACGGGTCTGGAGGTGGGTCCTTGAGAAACCACAGGAGAAATATTTTGGAAAGTCACGCATGTCGGAGAATTTGAGCAATAGTGGCAAGATTTATGGGAGAGGTGCTCAGGGCATGGATGGCTCCAGAGAGGCTGCCACACTGCCTCATCCGTGACCAGGTGGCTCAGCTCTGCCTCACTACAGAAGCCCAGCCTCTGGGACCCCAGGCCCACACGTGTCCCCACCAAGCCGGGGAGGGGCCAGGACCCTGACTGGCTGTACCGTGAGCTGGGCATCGCAGGCTCTCGTAGTCCAGCACAGGCTAACCCGCCACCAGCTTTCCGCAGTCAGCCCACGCGGCTGCCACCCCAGGCCCACGCGGCTGCTATGGAGAGAGCAAACCCAGGCCTTTGTTAAACTTTGATTAAATTTCCTTGGGTTTAAGAAAGGGTAAGCTTTCTTTCAACCTAACAGATCTTCTTTCTACTTCTTCACGGGCTTGTACGGGGCCCTCCTGCTATCCAACCCCTTTCCTGGATCTGCCAGGGTTTTGCGCCCTGTCCCACGGGTCCTTTTCCCAGACTTTCCCGGGCAGGACTCCTGCCCTCCCCTCGTGCTCCCCACTTCGGCTCCTACCAGGCATCCTCCTACTTCTGCTTTGTCATCCGGCTTCCACCGCACACGCGCCCAGCGCAGGAATTCCCCCCTGACTGTCTTCCTCCCCCAGTACTTTGGGGAGCGGACAGGTGGTTCCCAGGAGAGACTGGAAAGCCGGTCTTTCCTGCTGCTCAGGGATTAGTGTCCGTGTGGCGGAGGATGTGGTTGTCCCCTGGGGTGTCTGTGAAGCTGTAACTTCCTAGTTAATCCAGCTTAATTAGATGTCTGGCTTCCTTCTCCTTTGTTAATATCTAACTAGCTGCCTACTGTAACAGTTACACTTAGCCAAAACGTACCTGCGCCAGGCACGTTCTAAGCTCCTTATAGACATCAGCTCATTTAACTCACCCCATCAGCCTCATGAGGTGGATCTTATTAGCCCCACGCGTGAACTCAGCTAGGCCACAGCACCCCAATACTTGGTCAGACATGAGTCTAGACAGTGTTGTGAAAGTACTTTTTAGATGAGATTAAAATGTAAATCAATAGAATTTGAGTAAAACCGGTTACCTTCCATTACGTGGGTGAGTCTCATCCAATCCGTTGAAGGTCTCAAGGGGAAAAAACTGAAGTCCTCCGAAGAAAAGGGAATTCTGCCTCCGGACGATCTTAGAACTCAACCTGCGCATCACCTCTCCCTGAGTCTCCAGCCTGTGGGCCTGCCCTGGAGATCTCAGACTTGTTAGCCTCCACAAACACTTGAGCCAATTCTTTAAAATGAATCTCTTTAGCCCTGGCCGGTTTGGCTCAGCAGTTAGAGCGTCGGACCATGGACCAATGAGTCTCGGGTTCGATTCTGGTCAAGGGCACGTACCTTGGTTGTGGTTCAGCCGGGTCATGCGGGAGGCAGCCAGTTGATCTGTCTCCCTCACATCAATGTTTCTCTCTATCTCTCTCTCCCTCCCTCCCATGCTATCTGATGATTAATAGAATATATATGTATATATATGTAAAATAAATAAATAAAATAAAATAAATCCCCACACACACACACACACACTGTTGATTCTATGTCTCTGAAGAACCCTGACTAATACATCTCACTTTGCAGATGAGGAACCTGGGGTACAGAGAAATCAGTTCCCTCCCCCGGGGCCTTAAGGCCAGTGAGCAGTGCAGGCAGGATACAGATGCTTGCCCCTTGGCTGCAGAATCTGCTCACTTCCCCAGACACTGTGCCTCTCTCAGCCACAGAAAGTCACGGCCGTGTCTCTGCCAGCAAACCCAAGTGCGGGAGGGAGATGTAATGGAAAATGTATTCAAGCAAAATTTAGCTAGGTCAGTGGACATGGACCGAACTGACTTTGAAATCAACACGATTTGTTTTCCCTCTAGGAGTCATTTTGGCATCTGTGACTTTGAGCGTGTGATTTAAATCTCTCCAGACTTCCATAGTGCTGATCTGAAAAACACCATAAAAACTTCGCAAGGTTATTAGGGGAATAAATTGGATAATTGTATGTGCAAACAGTATTTCCCAGCATGTGAGTGAAATCACGTAGGTTGTGTGATTAATCAGTGGCTCCAAATTCAAATGCTCTAACCCCTCGTGTGCTTGACTTACCAGAGACATGATCGTCTCTACTCAACTCCCTCCCAAATGTGTTTCGGTTCTTTAAAGCTGCTGACCTGTGTCCATCTCAGGGGCCGGGGTCCTGTTGGTAGAGATCACTCTCACCTTGAGTTACTATTGCTGAGCAAAGCTGCTAATGCCCAGAACACAGCTGTACCTACCACAGGTACAGGCTGGGTCTCAGCATGGATTCGACTCTCCCAGACCCTCACTGACTTCCTCCTTTGGGCTTCCTGCTGGGCCAGCTAAACATATCCGACTCCTCTTGCTCATGGGGATGGCTAGCCCAGGGCCCTCCTCTCACTGTCCCCACGCCTACTCACTCGCCTGTCTATCCGATCTGTGTCTGCATGCCCAACACCTGCTGAGGAACAGGGTTCATGCGTTTCTCCCTTAAGGGAAATAAGCATGTACGTTCTCCCCCAGGAACATCTGCGTGCACAAAGGATGTGCACAAGGAGGAAACTTTGCCAGCAACATCTCTGTGACATCCTGCCAGGCCAAAAGAACAAGGAGCCTAGTTTACTGGGGGTTGGAAAGGGGGGGCTTTTGTTGTGTTTGTTTGCTTTGGGTTCGGTTTTCGTTGTTGTTTCCATTGTGTGTTGGAGAGGGTCCCTATGCTGGGAGCTCTCCAGGGAAGAGAAGCAGCATTCATGGCCTCACACACCCTGACAGCGCCAGGACTCACACCTGGGCTTGTGTAACTCTAGAACCCTCATCCTTAACTGGGTGCTGAACCTCTGTACTGGGCCGTCTGTCTATCTTCAACAGATAGTCGTCAGCTTTTCTAGGAAACAAGGGACATTAGCTCCATCCTGGCTTAGAGGGCACACGGCTTCTAAGAGGGCCAATCACTTCATCTCAGGCTCTCGTCTCTTCATCTGTGAAAGGAGAGAAGTGGAGTAAGAGAAGCTAGTGGTGTCTGGAAGCTCTCAGCATTCACAGCTTTAAGGGTTAGTGGCCGGAGAGCCCGTGCTAATGCATCCACCCCACATCCTCCTCAAGCAGTTCTCGGCCCCAGGAAAAATTCTTAGAAACAGCAATGAACAAAAATATTAGGTAAAAGCTGCCCGTCAGATTTACATATTATATTGCAAAATGTATTGTGCTCTCCTTTTTTCTTGGAATGGGAACATGTAGGTCTAGGACCTACGGTCATAACAGTGCTGAGATGGGACCTATTACTGAGTAGCCAAACACATTTCCAGTTCCAAGAAACTGCTCTGAAACCACATGCTTGGTAATGCCAACACTAAAAAGCCCCCTTCACTCAATAAGCAATCTGGAAAGCATTTGTCTTTTTTTATTTTAAAATAAACATTGCGTATCTCTCTTTTTCAGAGGGTGAAAGTAATCAGAGATAAGTATATCCAGAAAAACTGTTGGAGAGAAATGAAAGAGAATGAGGGAGAAACTTGATTTAGCATCTACCCCCTTGTATTTGTCTTCTTCCTGCTGGCTCAATGCCACCTCCTTCATGAACACAGAATTGGAACCCATGCCAGACGAGGTCTTGGCCCCATGAACGGGTAAAGGACCTTCCCAACATAAACAGGGAGGCAAAGGGGAGACTCCTGTGAAGCCACTGAGATCAGTTCACTCAACGAGCACATGGTTCCATTTGGTGCCTACATCTTGGCCTCGGCCTCTCGCCCTAACTCAGTGAGGAGTCCATCATTTCGACGAGGAACACCAGTGCGCCAGTAAGAAGGGCTCCTCGTCCCACTGTAGTGCATACACCCCAGAGATCTCTTCTGTCATTAATATTTTTATTTTTAACCATTTCGAAGTTATTTGCGCATTACAAATGCATAGCAGAAGTGTTCCCATAGGGATAGTCAAGTAATTCCAAAAGAGAGTAATAACCTTTCAGTTGCTCTCTCTTCAAACATGTGTGTCAACCATGCCAAGAGGTGTCTATGCAAAACACAAAGACACAGTCACTACTGAAGGAACCTCCTGTAGGATTGAACCTGGACACCACCCTTTCCAGGATGCTCCCCTGGTACCCAGATCAGGACAAGAAGCACCTCCTCGGGTCCTGTGGCACTGGGTCCAAGGCATCCATGATCCCCATCCTCTCGAGTGAAATTGTTGGCTTACTTACACAGGTTCCAATACTGCCGCTGCGGTTGGAGAGGTTCAGATAGGACGCACCTCACAGAGCCCTTAGACAAAGAATTGCAATAATAACGATGAAGACAACCAAGACGTTGATGACAGTATAACGAAAACATGTAATCCCCTTCTCAAGAAGCACTGCCTGCTTATCTTCTTCTGTCCCAAATCCCTGGATGTGTCTGCTCACAAGCACACTTCTGGGGCTCGGCGCCTGTCTGGGACAAAGCCAAGGAGGCAGCGTGATGTCAGTTTCTTGCGGGGAGCCCGCTCTCTGACTTGTACCATCCTGCCTAATATACTTCAGCTGCCTTGAAATGAAAAATGAATAGGAAGTAGATCTTGCTGCTAAAACATATGTGTCAGAAAATCATTACGAGTATTAAATTACAGCAATAAAATGAACCAGAACTAATTTTGCAAATTAAGATACAATCAATTTTTTTCATAGCCACACGTTTTCTTTAAAAAAAAAAAAAAATATAGCAAAATAAGATTTAGCCTAACAGTATGAAAACTGAGTGTAAGGTTTTTGGGAGTGGGGTATGAATATATATAGAACCAGAACCAGTGTGATAAATACATCAGTGTTTTGGTGGGTAGGGGTAAAAGTTGTCCCCAGATGGTAAAAATACTTCCCCAGTGCTGAACAGTATAATGATCAGTTTTGACCCTGACATTCCTATGTATTTTATATGTCAAATTTATGGACACATATTCCCCTTCCTCTCTTCTGCTCCCCTCACTCCCTACACAAGGTTCTGCTGACTCAAGAAACGAGTAAATTTTAAAATCTCTGACACCTGCTCATTTTTAGGAGACACTATTGCTGTTGGTCAAATTAAATCTGAAGCTATAAACAAACCTTAGCGCTGTGCCTGTTCACAAGAATAACAGGATATCTCCCTCCACCCACCGCACGAGGGACTGTAATTAGCTCATTGTCCGTGAATAGGCTCAGACCGGGGGAGGGAGGGCCCGGGCAGGTGTTAATTAATTGAGTAACCTCCACCGTCTCCTGGGAACCCCGGTCAGCACAACTCCCCCTTCCAAAAGGGACACTGAGGAAGAGGATGAAACACTCTGGCCAAGGACTCACAGAGAGGGTCCACCAAGAAGAGGAAAAAACAGGAGCTTCGCCTCCCTGCTGGGCACTCCTCCTGGCTTTCTGCTACACCCAGCCAGCAGACTATTTATAGCCATCATTACAAATAAAGCTGTTTATAACATCCAACCTTGGCCCTGCATTAGTTAAATCTGTAGACTGGCAGCTATAAATAACTCTGTTGCATGCTCAAGTGTGACTACTGACTGATACTTCCTCAAATTGTGAGAAATAATGACAAGTTTGTTTGACAAACATCCCACTGACATTCATCTGATTTTGAGTAAGTGGTGCTGCTTTTTTAATTTGGTCCCTGAGGCCCAGCTTCTTGGGAACTTTCTTTATTCTTCCCCTGTCTCACCTCCTGCACCAGGAGACTCTGTCCTGTGTGTAGTTGCTTCCCCTCCTAATCACTAGAAGGGATTTGGGGCCATTTAAGGGGAAGCTTATTAAATCCACTGTTTTTCTCATGGGACAGCTCTGCTGTAGGGGCTTTGCAAGGGTCAGGGAGTTTTGTTCATGATGTCACAGCAATAGGAAGGGGAGGGAGGTGTGGGCCGGGCCAGGGAGTTGGGTAAAGTGGAGAGAGGATCAGAAAGGGAGCTCTGCAGGGGGGAACGGCAACCTAGAAATGCTAGAAGTAGTTACAGAAGAACCAATGAAAGACATCGTCCAGACAGAGGGATTTACAGCCCAAGGCACCCGAGCTGGGAGATCTGGAATAACCCCAGCTCGATGCCCACAGTGCGGGTCCCGTCCCGGGTGAGTGGACAGGAGTGTGCGTGGGAGTTCCGTGGCATTCCAGGGCTCCAGTGGGACTCGGGAACCGCTCGAAGTAACTCACCAATTTACAGGCAGACAAGTTCGGGTCAAAGAGGCTCCCGCCACTCACTAGAGCACAACTGGACTAGAACTCAGCTCTCTGGGCTCCGGTTCCTTCCGTCATCATTAAATTAATATGTGAAAAGCATTTGGAACCCTTCCTGGCGGTGGTCAACACTCCCGAAGTGGGAGAGGTGATCGTCAGCTCTCCCTACTGCTGGTCGCTATCTATATGAACACATTAAAATCAGAAGCTCTTATACTGTCCCCCACCAGCCATGTTCCTGTCTTCTCTGTCTGACTGGACTCTTATAATGACAGTGCTTACACATCTCATCCCAGCACACCCACTTCGGCCAATCTGGTCTAAACCGAGTTTTCAGTCATCTGCTAAATATACAGCTCTAACCCAGCCGGTGTGGCTCAGTGGTTGAGCATTGACCCACGTACCAAAAGGTCGCCAGTTCGATTCCCGGTCAGGGCACATGCCCAGATTGTGGGCCCGATCCCCAGTGGGGGGCATGCAGGAGGCGGCCAATCGATGTTCTCTCTCATCGATGTTTCTATCTCTCTCTCCCTCTCCCTTCCTCTCTCTCTAAAATCAATAAAGACAACAAAAATTTTTTAAATAAATGTACAACTCTAATCATAAAACTGTGGCTCACCAGCTCCCCCACCTCCCTGCCCTGGCTGGGACTACAGTAAGGAGGAGTCACTCTCAGGGACTACAGTGCACGGCCCCCACCCCCGGGAATTCTGTACCCTGTGTGCCTCACTTGCCTCACCCTACTTCCGACCCTGCCCCTTCCTCTCCCAGAACAATCGCCAGCTGGTTCCCATGTCTGCCAAAATAATAAAAGACTTATCACCCTGCCTGACAATGTGCTCAATGACTGGCCCCACCCATTTCTCCAGTCCAGATCTATGCTCTATCTGAAAGTAGACTCCTCAAGCTTTCCAGAACATACGTACGCCCTTAGAGGATCCTCTGTTCCCTTTGGCAAGGGTGCCCTCCCTCCCTTTACATTGCAAAACCCTGACCGCCTTTCAAGACCTATTGCAAATGCCTAAAGAAGCCCTTGCTGAGTGCTCAGGCAGCTGTGATGTTTTCCTTGGAATCCCCATCACCCTATTTATATGTCTCTTTCAGCACTCGCCTGTCTTAATCCTGCCTTACAGTTATTTGTGAACATGCTTATGTTTAATCCTCTTTTCTAGTGGTAAGACGAAACGCTTAATCATTTTGGTATCTAGCATTGTGTGTACCTAGAAAAGGGTGAAGCATTTAAAAAGCCTACTTTCTAGCCCTGGCCGGTTTGGCTCAGCAGTTAGTTCGTCAGCCCATGGACCAGAGAGTCCTGGGTTCGGTTCCCGCTAAGGGCATGTACCTCAGTTGTAGTCTGTCTCCGCCCCGGTTGGGGTCGTGTGGGTGGCAACCAGTGGATGTGTCTCTCTCACATCGATGTTTCTCTCTCTTCCTCTCTTCCTCCCTCCCGCTCTATCTGAAGATAAAAATGCAAAAAAAGTCCTCAGATGAGGATTTAAAAAAAAAGTCTACTTTCTAACAGTGCAAGCAAAATCCAAAACCAAAAAAGACCTTAAAAGTGATAAATGACAGTATCAACTAATGAACATGTGCTGAGATGTGCAAATAAGTAGCAAAACCTGGCATGCGCCCTGGCTAGTTTGGCTCAGCGGTTAGAGCGTCGACCTGCGGTCCGGAGAGACCCGGGTTCGGTTCCCGCTAAGGGCACGTACCTCAGTTGCAGTTTGTCCCCGGCCCTGGTTGGTCGTGCGGGTGGCAGCCACTCGATGTGTCCCTTCACATCGATGTTTCTCTCTCTCTCTCCCTTCCTCTCTCTCCCTCCCACTCTATCTGAACAAAAATGGAAAAATATCCTCAGGTGAGGATAAAAAAAAAAAAAAAAAAAAACCTGGCATGGACCCTGGTCATTTGCAGCAGCACCTTCCTCAGCTCCACGAAGGCGACCTGAGGGTGTCCGCACGGCACACATGCACGACCCCTGTGCTCACAGACACTTGCAAAGTATTGAGAGAACTGGAAATGAAAGAGGCCACATAACTGTGGACTCAGGCAGCTTAACAAGCTGAAGGATTAAAAGGGCAAGTATCTAATCAACCCATCAGTCACCCAGCCGTCACACATTTATTTAGAGCCTGTGACATGCATGACATAGAACCACTCTTAAAGGATGGATGTTTGCTTTGCTGTCTGGAATTGACAGCCAGCTCCACTTTCTACATTTCCCCAACTCTTTTCGTTTTTACAACACTAAGTAAGACCCAGGCAACTCCACGTCTTCAATTTGGCCCCCTAATTTCTTTTTTATTTTTATTTTAAATCCTCACCTGAGGATATTTTTCCATTTATCTTCAGATAGAGAGGGAGGGGTATAGAGAGAGAGCAAGAGAGAAAGAGAGAGAGAGAGAGAGAGAAAGAAAGAGAGAGAAACACTGATGTGAGAGAGACACATTGATTGGTTGCCTCCCAAATGGCTGGGGACCAAACTGCAACAGAGGTACATGCCCTTGACCAGAATCAAACCCAAGACTCTTTGATCCGCAGGCCCACGCTCTAACTGTTGAGCCAAACCAGCCAGGGCCCTTTTTAATTTTTAAAACATTCATTGATTTGAGAGAGAGAGAGACATGACTTGTTGTTCCACTTATTTATGTATTCATTGGTTGATTCTTGTATGAGCCCTGACTGGGGATCAAACCCACAATCTTGGTGTATGGGGACAACCATCTAACCAGCTGAGCTACCCGACCAGGGCCAGGCCCCCATGTTCTTATCTCCACAATGGGAAACTCTGCCAACCTTTGCCGGGCCTCCCAGTGGGCTCCACATCCATTTCAGCCCTGCCGCAGCCTGCCAGGACCCTGGGCTGTTTGAGACCCCCTAAAACTCCATAGACACAGGGCGGAACTTCCCACGTCAGAACTAACCCATCCCCGGGGGAGAAGCAGATGAGAAAACTTCAGCTGCAGACTAACCACTGAAGAGGAAGGACAAGCTGAACCTCCTGCACGAGCCAGGTCCTCCTCCTTCCCCCAGAGAAGGAAGGCGCCAGGCGCGAGAGGGGCTGGAGGTGCCTTTGTGCTGTTCCATATTAACACAGTCACACTTTGCTATGCAGATGTCACTTCCAATAAACACCAGGGCTTTCCCGGGCCTGGAGTCTAATTGAAGGGATTGTTACTGTTGGTGAATGGCTAGGGAAATGATTAATGCAAAGCCAACCACTTCATAAATGCCTGCTTTGTGAGCGTTCCCAGTGTCCTGGGGACTGCGACTCCTGTGGTCAGCACAGCCCCAGGACTCCGCGTCAGCAAAGGATATTTATTATCCCCATCAGCCCCCTTCTGAAACCGCCAGGCGGACGGGGCCTCACCTGGAGGTTGGTGGGCACAGTCAACCATCCTCCAATTTCTGGCGCGGGGCGTGCAATGCAGAAAAACTCCCCCCAATCTTCTGGATGTTTCACACACGACCTGATTTCGTTTTTTTTTTAAGAAAGGCTTCATTTGTAAGTCACAAAGATGGAAACAGGAGTATAAGCAGATAAAAAGCTTTTCTAGCCCACCCCATTCCTAAGTTGGCTACTTGAGCTCTATGCAGATACATGAACACACACACACACACACACACACACACACACCCCAAGGTCTCTCTGATCTGCATTGCTCACAGTTTTCACCTAATTTAAAAATCAGTTTCGATTTAAATGCAGCAAATGGACTCTTTAGGTAACTTAATTCCTAGGAAGAAGAAAAGAAGTGGTAAGTAAGTGTGCCAAGCCCTCTGCCTAACATATACTCACCTCACTGATACATACAGGGGGTGGGTCTGTTTTCTCCCCCAGAAAATTGGTCCCAGGTTCTCCTGAGGTAGCATGTGCAGGCCCTACTTCTGTTTCTGCAGTCTCGGTCTAAACTGCCATGGATGCTGTCCTGAAACTCCCTGTAAGCTTAAAAAAAAAAAAAAAAAAAAAAAAAGAGCTACAATGTTAACACTGGTGGAACTGAGGATGAAATTTTTAAAATTTATATTTGTTATGGCATCTAAATGTTCTACAGTGTGGTATGTGTTTTATATTCAATGCATGATGTAAAAAAATATCTTTAGTTTCATAAAATCCCTCAAGATTGTAAGGTTTGCTTGGGCAGCTTCATCTGATTTCAGAAGTGGTGTTCTGGTCTTGAAAATTAG